CACGGTCAGGGCGGCTAGGGTCTGGAACCAACTTCCAAGAGAAGTGGTGCTGGCTCCTACCCTGGGGGTTTTTAAGAGCAGGTTAGATGAACACCTTGCTGGGGTCGTTTGACCCCAGTACTCTTTCCTGCCATGGCAGCGGGTCGGACTAGATGATCTGCTCAGGTCCCTTCCGACCCTAGAAACTATGAAACTATGAAACACGCTGGAGTATCTGAGAGTAGGTAGGTTATGGGTAAGAGGGGCACAAAAATACTGGCCACTGCCAGCAGCCTTTGCTGGCCCATGCATTGCCACCTGCCTATAGCACACAGCTTCCCCATTATGTGTCTGGTACCTGAGCACCTTTCCTTGCTAACACGTAAAGTTCTAGGCAAACAGATTTCCTCTAGTCCAAGATGGCACAACTTGGACCCCGGGGCAAACTGATGGCTTTAGAACACTTCTTTTCATTCATGAAACATTCAAACTGAGGCAGAAACAAGAAGTATTTTATTTCTTTTCTGAAAAATATTATGATATGCTGTTGTATAGCTATTGTGAAGGTGCTCTAGACACTCTGGTGGGTGACTAATACCAAATAAACAATTATTTTTTTTATTTTTATTGGCATAATTTATGACAACCACTCTAGACTATTGAACAGATAAAGAAAAGCTAAATATTAAGCTGACATCATTTCCAAAAATCATGAGCTGAGTCAGTATAAAGATTTTTAAAATAGCCTAAAAGCCAAAAATATTTCAGTTTTCAAAACTAGAAATATTTTTTAAATTTTATGTCTCAACCCTCAGCATATCCCACCCCCGACACCCCACTCCTTGATTTTCAAATGGAAAAAAGGAGGGAAAGCCTGGAGGAAAATAAGGAAAACTGAACTTCTTTAAAAAACATCTATTTTTAAGATTTGTTCTTTCTGAAAAAATAGATATTGATGATATTTTGTGGCTAATTTTTTTCTGAGGAAAATGAACATTTTCCACATATTTTCAGGGAATTTATATTTTTCATATGCCGTTCATAGTAAGGCAGGGAGTAAGCTGGAAAATGAAGAGTAGTGGGAGCTGGGATGCACACAGGTTTTATCCAGTACCTGAATAAATATTCAATGAAGAGTTGTGATTTCTAACTAAATTTGATATATGGGTTACAGGTAATAGGGTGAGTCCTGTTATAACCATATAAAGGTCCCTTGTATGCATGGGTGATCGGTGCCTCCCGAGTCTGGGGGGGTACCAGTGGGGCACAACCAGGGGGGGTCCCCCGCTGGCCAGCCGAAGACCAGGGGTGGGTGGGGGTCTCCCAGTAGCTTGTTGCTGAGTGCAGCTGGTCACCAGCAGAGCCAATTTCAGGGGAGGACCAAGCTCTCTCCATGCCCCCCTAGCAGCTGAAGCACTCGCTGTCAGGGGAGGCACCAGTGCTCTCAGGTGGGGCATGTGCCCCCCATGCCCCCACTCTGCATCGCCTATACTTATAGGAATACAAAACTTTTTTCTTCCTGCATGGGAATATTTATACTGGAGCTATTCAAATGGCAGCCAGGGGCCAGATGCAGCCCCTGTGAATTAATCTGCAACCCTTGGGTTCCCAGTCTGGGAGTCTAAATCTATCCAGAGAGAAACACCTACTCAAGGATCTCTTATTCACTCAATAGCAATCAAGTACATCCCAGAGACCAATCCTAATCCAACCTGCATACAAACATAACTCTCCTTTTCTGACAATAGACATCCTTAGCCAATACTAATTTACCACAAAGGAGCCTGGTCCTCTTTTATCCTTCAAATGAGAGACCCATATGTTCTTACTACAAATAGGGATACAGCTTACCCGAGAAAGACATCCAAATGGAGAGGGACCCATCCACCTTTCAGCTCATTAGCCTTGTGTTTAGGACACCCATAGCTCCCAGCAAAGCACCCTAACCAGTAGACCTTGTATAAGCAGACCCAAGAGCACCCACCTGTTGAAGACAGTCTGCTGGGCTTCCAAAAGCAAAAGTGTCATGGAGCCAAAAGGAAAGCATACAAGAAGGAGCATGAGTCTGGTGTAGTGGAGAGCAATGGTGAGAGTGGGAAATTTACATTCTGACCTCTGCTCCCAATGCTGGTTTGCATAAAACAATTATTGGATAAAATGCATGAACAGCATTTGTATCAAGTCTTCTTCCCTGTGCTATCTATGCGTTTTATGCAATGTATGTTTCATGAAAAATGCTCAGAGAGCACAGCAAACATAACTGGGCTTCTTCCTGCATCCAATACTCATTAGTCTTGCACTTAGGATGGAAGAATCCCATGCCCTGGTACAGGTATGGGGGATGACTGGTTGAGCAGCAACTCTGCAGAAAAGGACCTGGGGGTTACAGTGGACAGTGAGCCAAATAGGAGCCAACAATGTGCTCTTGTTGCCAAAAAGGCTAACAGCATACTGGACTCCATTGGTGGGAGTACTGCCAGCAGGTCAAGGGAAGTAGTTATTCCCCTCTATTCAGCACTGGTGAGGCCATATCTGGAGTACTATGTTCAGTTTTGGGTCCCCACTACAGAAAGGATGTGGAAAAAGTGGAGAGAATCTAGCAGAGGGTAATGAAAATGGTTCAGGGGCTGGGGTGCATGATTTCTGAGAAGAGGTTGAGGAAACTGGGCTTATTTAATCTAGAGAAGAAAAAATTGAGAGGGGATTTAATAGTAGCCTTCAACTACCTGAAGAAAGGGGTTCAAAAGAGGATGGAGCTAAATTGTTCTCCACGGTGGCAGTTGCTAGAACAAGAAGCAATGGTTTCAAGTTGCAGCAAGGGAAGTTTAGGTTAGCTGTTAGGAAGAATTTTCTCACTAGGAGGGTAGTAAAACACTGGAACAAGTTACCCTGAGAAGCTGTGGACTCTCCATCCTTGGAGGTTTTTAAGACCTGACTAGACGATGATCTACTTGGGGATGGTCCTATCTTGAGCAGAGACTTGGACTAAATGGCCTCCTGAAGTCCCTTCTAACCCTAATTTTCTATGATTGTATAACACATAAGCCCTCATCTTTTGGTTGGGCAAAAATGAATATGATTAGCAGGTATCAGGCACAGCAACATGTCCCTCCTGACTTTTAAATCAATTTAGGGATTAAAGCAGTTGCCCCTGGAGCAGAAGATTTAGGTTTTAGGCCCCCTACCCAAAGGGAGATAGGACCTGCACCTCCTGCTGTCCCGCAAAGTGTTCTAATGATTGCACCATGGACTACACGTTGCTGCAAGCCTTCTCAATTCCTCCCTTTGCATTTGCTCCACTCCACTTTGTGTTTAGCATTGATTGGGTACAATAAGAAAAACAGCACTGGGAAAGCTGTCATGCCCTTGAGAGCAGGGTCATGATAAAAGTTGGGATCCTCTTCCCTTACACGGAAGCATCTTGTGTCACACTGAGTAAACTTGAGTCACATACCCGCTGTTTTATTCTTCCACCTATCTCCCCATATATTTTCTTCTTGGCTGTCCAGCAGGCCAGCTTCAAGAGAAGGCTATGTAATGCCTAAGCTTTGACCTGATTATACCCCTTTTATGGGAAGCAGAGATAGCAGATTCAAAAAAAGGGGTAGGGACTAGAAGTTAAGTCTCTTATTCTCTGGGCAAGTGCTCAAACTATTAGGCTAAGAGGCAGGAGGGCCCTGGCCCTTCTCCCACTTTTTGCTTCCAGCAGGCTGATTCTATTTCACCATGGGGGGAAATGGGGAAGGAGAGTTAGGCAGGGCAAATAGATTCCCACATGGGAGTGCCAAAAAAGAGCATTTATGTGATTATGCATATGCCATTGTGGCATGTAAAGTGAGATCAGAGTTAGACAGTAAACACCAAAAGAGCATAAATACCTATTTAAAATGGATTATGATTTGGCCTGTAGAGTCTTGTAAATTAGTCATACAAATAGTTTGATGAAGTCATCTTGAAACTTATTAACTGATGATTACCTCGGTAAAAACTCTCAAGTTCTTCGACCATGATAGCTTCAGACCTGACAAAGGCTTTAATCTAGTTCCTTACCTCTAGTAATGTGGTGATATCTGGTCGACTTATACACAATGCCTAATGGAAGGAAACCAATAATTTTATATGACTGGCCATGGATCTATCAGTATTTAAGGAGAACCACAAAATTAGTCATTAGAGTGCCTATACATGAGCCAGAAGGCTGCTCTGATGCACTGCAATTACAGCGCTTTGGAGTAGATACCACTAATCGAGCCTGCTGGAGCATGGTAATTACTGTGCACCAGCCAGTCTCCGTATCTTGTGTATTAGCATCCCCATGCTTCAAACTGGTGATGGGAGCACTTTAACTAAAGTTCATTTGATGAGTTGTAGATAAAGCACCCCTGCTGCCATTTTGAAGTGCAGAGATGCTGATACATGAAATGTTGCCAGCACTTTAATTAGAGGAGCTCTTGGAGTTGCTCTAATTGAAAGGCCCTCTCCCAGCCCCATGCCCCCAGCACACATGGAAAAAGGCCCTATAAGTCTACTGGAATTAAGTAAGCCAAGCGTTTTTTTGGCCTTGTGTTATTGATAACATAAAGAATATAGTAAGTGATTTCCTTAGGATATTAGGCACTCATGGATCTGTTCATGAACAGGAAAGTGGGTGATAGATGTGATTGCCTGTAGATACATGCTTGTAGGCTTTGTATTTATTTCCTACCTTCTGGGCACATGTACACATGCCATTAATGGCAGCAATAGACTGCAGAGTGTATTGCTCTGCAGTTTATTGCTCCTGGAAAGCTCCCGGCCATGCGGTTTACATGGGCATCTGAAGCATAGCATACTGAGCTGGGTTGCAGCAGCTCCATCTCTGACTGGGCTCAGTGTGCTACAGAGGGATTGCTTCAACGTGGGCCTAGACAGTAGGTAGCCCCTGCACTGAAGTACCCTCATGCCCCAGTCAGCTTACTCAGCATCTATACATGCACTGCTGTGCACAACTCGACAGCAGGGTAGGACTTGTAAATACTTGTATTTACAAGTCTCACCTGCTCTGGTGTTTATTAGTTTTGTGCACCCTAATAGGGGCACATATGATTATGCAGACATGTGTAGATGTGGAGGCATTTACTGTGCAGTTAATTAGGCACTTGTGCAGTAAACATCTCATGTAGATGCACCCTCTGAAATTAGATAAACATTTAGATGTGAAATCTTTAAGATGATTTTTGGACACTTATAAATAAGTTAATAGATAACAATATCTCCCCTCAAATGAAGCCCCTGCTACTTTTCAGAAAACTTTGTTATTCTAGAGCCTCTAGCTACAGCATCTTTTGTATAAAATATAAAAATGAGACACTAAGGTCTCTAGTTGCTAAATACCACATGGCAATTTTTCTAAGTTTATCTGCACGAATGGACAGTTCATTTCTGGGCGTAAAACTCAGTGTTTCTGACCATGAACCACTGTTGCTTGTGTGTAATACACACACATATGTGTATATATAATATGTGTACATGTGTCTGTGTGTGCATAAGCACACATACACACACTTCCTAAATTCCTTCAAAATGTAAAGAGTAAGATGAAAAGATGCTAAGGATGCTGAGGCTGAAAAACAGTCCCAGTTCTGGAAGCCAAGGACCATCAGAGAAAACAAGATAGAATAGCAAATCGGTCTGTATGGTAGGAAAGTATTTTGCTTCTAAAAAAAAGCCTCGCTCACCAATGGAAGGAAATAGTTTCCTCTTTTGTCTTCAAGTAATTTTGTTATGTTTTCACTTTTGTGGTCAGGTAAATAAGTGGGACATTTTATAATCTTTTTCTTTCCTTCATTTCATAAAAGATTATGACCTAGTAAATAAAAAATAACATACATCAAACATGGTAATGATTTCATGCCACGGACCTTTGAGATTTGTTACCAATTGACAAGAAAACAAGTAACACACACTAGAACCAAGGGAGTGACATTTTCACCCCCGCTTGTAGGCCAAAAAAAAAAAAAATAGTGGTGGCAAAGACATTATTTGTTTCAGCACACTGAAATGGCAACATTGAAGATTCATAGTGTACTAAAACTCCCATATTCTTTGCTTTTAACTAGACACAAGAGCACTCCAAAAGGAAGTCAGCCACATGACATTCCGTAATAGAGTTTTCAGCTTTGCCTGATTGCATTACAAACACCACACATATTGAAACACTCTGGCAGTTTCCTAGTGCTCACAGTAAGAGACCTGAACCCTTTGACCCCAAACTTCTTATTAAAGCCTATGCTGGACTGTGTCTCTTCAAGGGAAAAAAACAAGAAACTACTGGACTTATTCTCTTCTATAATTCATTCAAGTAAGCCCTTGCTGAGTGGAGGACCTTGGCTTTGATGTTAAAGTCTCCTAATTGGAAGGAAGTGAAGTGTTAGCCTGTCAGGCTATTAGTCTCTCATCAAATAGTTTAAGAGGTATCAGAACACTGAAGTTCTCACACTGATGCAAGGAAAGCGCAGAGTGGCCTGGTTTTTGTTAAAATGTTTAAACTTTGCATCTGTCTAACAAAAACGTTTAATATACATGGAGCTGCTCCTTGATTTTTCTTTCCTTTTATCTCCACCCTTTCCCCTTCGGAGCCTCCATCTTTCTATTGCCTACAGCACATCAGCCCCTATTAGTAGGAATGTGGGGGATAACGGGTGTAGGCTATAAAGTCTCAGGTTCTACACATTATAGCCTTGATTCAAAGCTAAATATTGCTTCCACACAGTGTGACCTAACTGTTTGATCAAGTGAAACACCTAAACCTCTAGGGTTTTTCTTCCTATGAATGTAACTTCTCTAAAGAGTGCCCATACAACAAGCTGCTGCTACTGTTTGGTGAAGGATTATTGCTAGTGCAGAATTTAGGTATATGTTTAATTTCCACCATCTGCTTAGGCCCCATTGACTTATGTTATGCATGGGCATAGGCTCTCACTTTGAATAAGTCTTCTTTCCCAAACTGAGGTTTAGGGATGCAGTGTTGGAAGATGATGAGTGTCCCTGTTGTGCACCTCAAATTATTCTGAGGAGAGTGGGAATAAACTAAAATACTTACAGTATTTTCCAGATTTTTTTCAAAATTGCAAATATCTATGTAATTGAAATGCCAAAATTAAAAGCAACGTCAGGCATCTCTGATGAATATTTGCTTGTCTAACCTATGTGCTTCATTCAGTTGGTGCAGTAAAAGCAAAATGGATAGTTTTGTTTCTGGTCATAACCTGTGTTGCTCTTCCATTCTCACTAGATTGTACCTAAGTTCTCCACTTTGCATGTAAATGATACAATTGTAAACAATTATTTTTATTTTATTATTTTAAAGAAACTCAAAAATATATACATTTCCAAAGGTTATATTGAAGATTTGGGAGTGTTTTTCCTTTAAAAAATAAATAAGGAACCTTACGTACTTGATTGTACCATTTAAAATATACTTCAGTGAATGAATATAACTATAAATTGTTAACAGGAACAAATTGGCCAAGGCCTGGTGCAAATCAAATTGCAATAACAAGGCAAAAAAGATACCTTCACAACCTCAGTCTTGTGACCCTTCAAAACCTTCTCATTTCTTGCCAAAATTTATTTATACCAGTTTATACTATAGTCCTTGTACCAACATTGTCCTTTAGATTAAATGGATTTTCTCCCTAACTAGTGTTTCTTTCCCACTGGACACATCTACATGTACAATTAATGTGCCTGAATTTTCTGTGCAGAAAGTAGATTTTGCTCCCAATGGGAGCACTTCAGTCCATGACTGCTCCTGCTCTGCTCTGTCCTCCTGTAGCAGCCATAGATGGAGCTCCAGGCTGGCAGGGGACAAAGGGGCTGATCCCAATCTCCATGGAATGAGGGAGATCTGTCCCAGCTGTCAGACAGCTGCCTCCCAACCACATGGCTGGTAGGCAGTGTTTTGCCAAGCTGGGGACAATTTTCCCTGCCCCCCACTGCCTAGGCTGACTGGGAGCAATTTCCTTCTGGTCAGTGTCTACATGTGTACTATGGT